TTTTCCCCATTGAATGAACCTCCTAAAGCAGTGGAACAAGCACTATCTAGGTTAAGTGAACAGTCCGAGGTGTCGGCTGCCATCACGAGACTACACCTTGAAGTGGTGTGATGGATTGCGTGCCTTCATGACCCTGCGAGCTATACAGAATGGCTTTCAAAGCCGCAGATCCAATCATACCTGAAAGGTCAATGGGTCGAGGTCACACAAAGCCTACTCTCACAAGACCAGCTGCTTATGCATCTTCTAGCTTCCTTTGACCATCCACTCTCGACCTGGATAGGTCACTGTGACAAATAAACGCGATGAGGAGCAGTTTACGGGTTGAAAAACCCACTAGATGGACGTAGGAGCGGGATACCTGAGGCTTCCTCTGGAAGGTGAGAGAAGTCTTCGCATTTCACTGGACAGCTACCGCCTGCCTAAGCTGGGCAGCCCTCAGCCAATAAGGTACTGTCCCGTCCACGTTCTGCTTGTCTCATTGGGTGCATGAGGCTAAGGGCCTACCCCGAAAAGCGGACCGACAACCAACGCACCAGCTAACAACACTGAACTAAAATTCCAAGACCTGGCGTGACAGGTCTCTAGAAGCTCCCACCCGGGTGCTTCGGTCACGCTCCCGCGTTGGACTTACGCCCCATTGCCTTGTGGGTCAGACTTTTGGGTCGAAGGCTCCGTTCAGTTCAGTTCAGTTTGTACAACCAATAACTATGGACTTTCTTGCGCCGGTTTTGGTTGCTGTCTTTTGGCTGCCCATTTGGATGATGGATGGGAAAAGACAGGATTGTTGAAAGTAGAGTCAAATAGAAAATGGCGAATTTCAGTGTTTTGAGATTTCAAAGAAATTGAGAAGATGCACAAACGCCACTCTTTATTACTCCCCACCATGTCGGTAGCCATTGATTACAGTTGTTTCGGGGTCCCCAGTCAGAGCGCCTAATAGAAAGTACGTGACCCAGTGCNCCCTCATGCCAGGCCTGAGCTTGACTACCCTTGGCGTTTTTCCACCCACTACCTGCCCCAGCGACCATCGTTTGCTGTGGCAACCCATCTGATGACATGCGCAATACATGTCCCAACCAAAGTAATCTATGGAGGTCGACCACTTACTCCAGTGGTCGACCGCGGTTACTCAAAACTCTGCGCCTAACCTCAGCATTGCTCGTCCGGCTGCCCCACCAGATTCGTAGACACCGATGTTCAAACAGCGACAGTCTATCTTTATCCCGTTTCCTTAATGGCCTAATTTTCTGCACCGTACAGCAGAAGTGGCTGAACTGCTGTGGTATGCGTTCAAGCCTTCACAGACAGCCGGATGTCGCAACTGCACCACATGGCTGCACTGGCATTCAAGCTGTCCACAAAAGCTTGCAACTTACCTTGCGTCTTAGCTTAGCAGCACAATGTCGTCTGCATACTCTATATAGATCAGACAGTCTTCCATCTGAGAGTAAATAGATACCAATATACTTGCACGAAGATAGAGTCAAATCTACAACAAAATTGAATAGAAAGAGAGAGAGCAACCCTAACGAACACCATTTTCCGTGGTGAACTCGGACGAAAAAGTGTCGTAAGCCCGGGCTCGACTTCGGCTATTAGTATAAATCGATCGTAATACTGAAAATTACTTCTCGGGAGCACCCTTCTGGGAGAGGCAGCGCCACAGTTTAGAGCGGTTAACTGAGTCAAAAGCCGCTCCGGTCAGGGTTCCTAAATAAAACCCTTCGTTAGTGTGAGCTCCCGCGAAGTATGTCGTATCCCAAATTCATAACTACCCATTTTGAAAACCGTCTTTCTCGTGTGTTCAGTTCTCACTCTCAAATCTTAGGAGATACACCTAATTTGTACTATCCATGGGATATCACTCAACGTTCAGCTTGTAGGGTCAACCAGCCAGAAGCTATCTGATGTTTGTAACCAAAATCTCCTTTTCACTTAGCTCCATTTAATATTCGTACACCCTCCCAGGTCGGTCAACAAGCTGCCTTAGCTGGAACCATCTAGACTCATCTTGTATCTCCGAAACACACATATAAGACCATACTTCAATCATCACTTCGCGATCTCCAGATCCAATCTCATCCTCACATTTCACTCCTCGTGTGTCAGGCGATTGTGCGCTGAACATCTCGACGGCTTAGTACTGGTTAGCAACCACAGAACAAAGCGTCGATGCTTAATCGTCGTATCCGAGTATGCACCGACCAATTGCAATTCATCAGAAATGAGGGATAAATTCTACGCAAAGTGCTCGATCACCTGACAGCGTGGTGGTATCTGGAGACTTAAATGCAAAAGTATGATCGCTGGACGAATCAGAAAGTTACCTTAGCGGACCATATGCAATCCCAGCGAGCCAGACGGACAACGGAAGATGCCTTGTCCAACTTTGTGCGAACCACGGACTGTTCCTGTCAAGCTCAAAGGTTTGTCACAGTAAACGACACCGCCTTACATGGAGACCGCCAACCACCTCACAGCGCTGGATTCTAATCGACAACATCGCCATCAGTCACCGTTGGCGAGGTTCAATTGAAGACTGCTGCTCTTACTGGTCAACACTCGTGGATACAGACCATGCTCTGCTACCAGCCAGATTCTCCCTACATCTGGTAAACAACCGCAGAAAAGCCACCGAATACGAAGCGGAACCCTCTGATCGCCTTTCAGTTCAGCTGTCAGCCGAAGGACTCAGTGAACACTGGGAACAAATCAAGTGAGCGATCCCACTGTCGGTCAAAACAGCAGCGGGTTCTGGCACACGATCAAAGTAGAAAGGACGGATTTCTGTGTTCACGCGTGAGAATCAGGCTGGTTTTCGACCCGGTTGAAGTTGTGTCGACCACATTTTCACCACCACCATTTCTATCTTCCTCAATCTAAAAGTGGCCTTCGACTCAGTTGCTTGCTCTAAACTCAGGCATATGTATATTTGAATAAAACAAGTAACTCATGTTTGACTCACAGTTAATTGGGAGTAGTGGTGTGGGATAATTGATTTTTCATTGATTTGAGCGGACTGTCCTTTGGATTTCACCTTCACGCACAATCGTCATTTCATCGATTCAACCATGCACTCGGAAGCACTAGACTCAAGTTTCGCTCTTATTAGAGCTCATTAGTAGTAGTGCATATCCACCGTCTCGTCCGGGAATTGAACTCCGGACGCATCGCATGGAAGACGTGTGTGTTACCACTGTGCCAATCAACTCATGCCATGGCTGAAACAAATTGCCAATTCATGTTTGTTTGACATTGTAGGTTCGTTGACGAATCAGTCCGTACCTGCAAGGAAGTCCTGAATTGGTGGGAAGCTTTCGATTGGAGTTAACACTATGTCATCTGTATCTCCCTTCGTTGCTGTCGGGCCAAAATAAACTGACTATAACTAAAGACGACACCTTAACAAACATGGATTGGCAATTTGATGTGCACTACTAATGAGCTAAAGAGCGAAACTCGAGTCTAGTCCTTCCGAGTGTATGGTTGAATCGATGAACTGAGGATTGTGCGTGAAGGGGAAGTCCGAAGGATAGTCAGCTCAAATCAATCAAAAAACAAGTAACGCCTATATGAGCAGACTCCACATTGGCCATCAATTTCGCGTGCTCCTAATCAGCTGTCACGAACAATAAATAGATCGAAATGTTATTAAAAAAATACCATATTTAGACATTTACATAATCACGTGGGTTCAGGCGAAAATAACTGGGTTGTTGAGTCATTACCAAAATCATTCGGAGATCAATGAACGAGGAGGATTAAATAATGATTACGAGGGTTTAGAAAACGAGGGAATGCTAGCCCAATCACAGTTACGTAATGGAAAGCGGTTAATCGTGGAGGAAAGAGAGTTGAAAATAGTCACGTAATAGGGAATAGATACAACCAGAAAGGAGTTAGAACAGCCTTAGAAAGGTAATGGAGTAGAAAATTGGTCAACTAAGTGAGTCAGAAAGAGTTACTTAATATTGAAATGAGAAGAAATGAGGAGGCTAATGACGGCGAACGACTACCTCTTCCGCAAAGAAAAAGAAAAGAAACATCCTTGGACTTCAAATTTCAAGGATAACGCAGAGAGTTTTGCGTTTTTCAATGCAGTATCGGGTATCCGGCACATGTCGTGCCACCGCGGTTGCTGGAAGTTTTTCGGAACATGCTCACTCATTCTGGTCGATAGACGGCATTCAGTCCTTCCGACGTATCGCAAACCTCAAGTGCATTAAAAAAGATAAATGCAGTTGGAGGTGACTGAATCGT